AGTCAATGGAGCGACACCTTATTAAAATAAACAAATAAAATAAAAAATTATTAAAACAAATAAAATATTAAACTACATTATCAAGTAAATTACATTGTTAAGTAAACTATATTAATACAAGTAATTAAAAAAGAAGTATAAGTAACAACAACATTAAAAAAATTGGAATTAATTAAACAAAAATATAAAGGAGTAACGCTAAGAAAAATGAAAAAAAAAAGGAGAGAATGAACGGATGAAATAAGATGAGTAAGAAAATATGTAAGAGAAAACAAAAACTTAATCACATAAGTTCAGAAGAAAAATATAAAAACGCAAAATAAATGCTAATTTAAATCAAAAAATATATACATACACTACTTCATATAAAATTAAAGGCTATATTAATGCCTACGTACTGACCGTTTTGGAAGATTCTAATCGCGGAATAAAAAATGAATTTTTCAAAGAAGTTAATATTTTTTATAAAATTTGCTATAAATTTAATGATGAATGTATCGTAAACTTTAGATCATTGAATTGTTTCAAATGGACCCTTCTAAATAGTAAAATTGAATGGGAAGACATTTTTTTGGCAAATTTCATTTAAAATTTTTTACATGTATGTTTAAATTTTGTCACTATTTTAGATTTTCATTGAAAAAATTCCTATATGTTTTTATATAAAAAATTTATGGAGTACTATTCTCTTTAACTATTAGCTATCAAGCTGATTAAACTGACTTGATCAGCTTCAGCTTTAATCTGAAGAATGAGTTTAAAGCTGAAGCGGAAATATCAACTGCAACCCCTTTTTTATAGTCAATACAGTTATCGTGATGTATATACATTATAATAAAAAATGTGTTTTTTTGATGAATACAAATTATGGAAATATATCCGGGATGAATTAGTTTTTCATTTAAACATAAAACAAAGAATATAAAAAATTTTATTCTCATATATATTAAAAACTTTCATTTCAAATAATAAAGGCTCTGCATGAGTTTAACGGTATTTAAAATATATAAGACGTGGTACATGCTTCTGCTGACAATAAAGAGGTTTAAGTTTAAGTATTTTTTTTTAAACTACCCCAACCAATATTTGCATAGTTTATGTTACAATTAACAAATGAGTCAAACAATTGTACTCAAGTATGTTTATTTAAACCATTTCTTGCTTTGTACAATATTCATATACTTTTTGAAATTTTACTTGATAAATTTTTTATGTGATTTTTCCATATAAGATTTTTATCTAAACAAAACCTAGAAAGTTGTTTATTGTTACTTGTTTAATTTGTATATTGTCAATAACAAGATGAGACATGTTAATTGGCAGTTTATGTTTTTTGATGAGAAGATGGAAAAGAATTAATTTAGTTTTATCAATGTTAAGAGATAATTTGTAGATATTTTGATTAACTCGATATTCACGTATCTGTGTTACTCGATGTTACTCGCCAATACAATTTTTTTAATGGTGTCTTAAGACGTTTTAAAGAGCGCTATTTAATATATTATGACTAAATAAACTTACTAAAGACGCCATACAAAGATACGAATTATTTTACTCTCTTTTTTAAGACGTATAGAAGAAGATTTAGATTTGCGGAAAAAAAAAACAATTTAAAAAAACCTGATTTTAAACGTCTTAAAGACGTCATCCGAAGACAAGACCATTTAAAGGCTTAAATAAGATTTTTTATTTCGTTTTATGCTTGTTGGGTAAATATGAAAAACTTTGTCTTAGAATTTAAAAATTAATTGCGGTAAATAAAGTTAAACTAGAATTTAAGTAAAATTTCTAAAGATTTGTTTTAACTGCTTTATTTCCTAGTTTTGGTCAACTTTCAAGCATCTCAACTAAATACATATGTCAAAGATCATCAGTTCCATCGAATATTGTATAAAAATTATGGATACCGATAAAGAAAGAGTATATAAATGAAAAAAATACCAATCACCAAAGGCCATTGAATGAATAAATAACAATTTTTGTTTAGCAAACCTCTAAACTTTTTTTTTTTTTGCATTACCATAAATTATCCGTTTAAAACATTATTATCTAAAAAATACAAAAAAAGTTAAAAAAAATAAGTTAATAATAAACTGAGTTCAATAAAAAAGTTATTAAACTCAGTTTTTATGACGGAATTTGGAAGCTTTAAAGTAGCATTTCTCTGATTAAACGCAAAACGCGGTTGGTCAAGCATCGTAACATTGTTACGTCATTGTTTGTGTTGAACCCATTCCTCTTCATATGGCTTTGTAGGCTTACCCCTTAGAGTTATAACAAATATCAAAATATTTACACTTTGTGTAATAAAATATTCAAATACTTTTGAAAACTCATTATTCTTTACATAAATAATAAAAAGATTACAAATAAAAATTTAATAAACCCTAAAAAACATTAAAAACACTTTTTTCCGATTTTTTTTTTTTGCCACTTGTTTTTTATCCATCGCATTTCTTTGCCGACATCAAGGGTAATAACGTCGTCCGTTATAATCCACCTTAATAAATGGTAATAACTTTTATAAAAATATTTCAAGTAAAATTCATTACGAAATATCAAACTAAATTAGTTTATATATTATTTATGATTAAAATAAAATTATGATTAAAATAAAGATTTAGATAATATAATAATAGATAGTATTATTAATACACTATATTAACTATACATAAAAACACGCAAGAAAATAAAAACTGAATAATTTTAATTTAACAATTTTAAACAAAAATATAAGTTTTCTGTGGTCTTTATATTTCTGGTTTAACAAATAAAGTGATCACCAAGAAACTCTTTTTGATGAAGGTGTTTTAAAATATAGCAAAGAAGGAAACTGATCACTATTTCTTCATTTCGACCGTAGGGAAAGATATACAACTCTATAAACTTCGATGAAGTTAACATTTTTTTTAAACATAAGGAAGTGTTTTTTTTAATTTTATTTTATCACGAATGGAATCGCTGGTGAAAGGCTTAGAAAACAAGCATTCTTGAAAACTTACCTCCCAGTGCCAAATTGCATTTCGAGATCAAAAGTTTATAAATTGAAAATCACCTTAACAGGGTCCATCAAGCAGTTCTTCTCTATTTAAATAATCTTTAACCGTCACCAATTTTTAGTGTGCAATATAATAGCTCCGGCGTCAGGTTAATTTTTATTAAATGAAAGTATTTTAAAAAATCAACAAAAAGAGTCAAAAACATTGGTAAACTATATTAAAATTTTAATTAAATCCATAATATACTATGTAGACCTTACCACAATTTAAAAGTAATATTTTAACACATGATATTTTTTAAACCAAGGCAAAACTATATTCGAACAACTATTTTTTAAAAAAACCACAGAATACAACTGTGGTTAAACAAAACTATATTCAAACAACTATTTTTTTTAAAAAACCACATTAACACAGCTTAGCACATTTTATTGTTATTAATTGTCATCAGATATGTAAAGACTTAGAATGCACTTAATCTATATTGCTTTGATCTGAATAGTTATTTGTCATGTTTACTGTCTTATCTACAAGTTCACTTGTGAATAAGAGTTCAAAAGTCTCCAGCTGGTTATCAGGTGTTGCAGACTCATGAACACATGAATCACAATGTTAGATTTGATTGCACATACCTAATACAGATTTACTATTTTTATTTAACAATAACTTTTTTTTGCAGCCATTTGCAGCAAAAAAAATAATTTGCTTTTACGAGTTAGAACAACGAAAGAAACAGCCTGGTTAATAATAATTTCGTTGATTTGTGCAGTTGCATTGTTTATAACATCATCGCTGTCCTCTTAAATGAATATGTTTGATCCATCCTATAACATCATCAAGGTCACAACCACTAAATTCTGAAATTTTATCGTCAATTTTAAGCATAATATTAACAATATCTTCTACTATGTTCAATTTTGCACTACTACCTTTTTTTTCACAACTTGTTAACTTAAAACAGTGTTTACAATAATTTGAATTAAATCAGTTACATTTATAGAAAAGTTGCCAATATGAGCTTAAAATTTCCGTAGAAGAATGTTCTAGAATATAATACTGGTTTTACAGCATATTGTTTGGTATTGTAAGTGTTGCACTTCTTTTTGCGGAAAATAGATTTTTTGACTATTTTTTTTTTTTAATTTGTATTGAGCTGTATTTAAATATATAAAAACCAAATAACTTTTTTTAAAATTTTTATGAAACTTAATTTGATAAAAAAAGTGTAATCCATTCTAGGGAATTCGGAAAGAATGAAAAATGTAAAATATATGTGTAATTAAACAAAACGTTATTAAAAAAAAAGCAATCAATAATAAATATTAAAAAATCAATCAATAGCAACAATTTAAAAATCAATCAAATAAATTTAACTTTTTTATTTTTGTTAAGTTGAGTTTACAGGTGTCGGGCACTTTTTGGTGCAATAAAAACTCAGCGTATTTTACGTATCTCTTTGGTATGCATATTTGACTGGTACCATTCCATATTTTGAATTGCTGAACCTTCGCCTAAAACTTTCCGGCACTTTTCACACCTAAATTGGATAGCAGCTAATATTTGTATTGGACTTGTTGCTTGGTTTATTTGCTGTTTGCCATTAGAGCTAAGCTTACGTTGTTTTTAGCTTGGTTTGCTGCTTTTTTGCTCTCAGCATCTTTCAACCGTTCCAGTATTTAAGGTTTGTTGAGACATTCCCCTTCGAATCTTGATACATCAAATTTTTTTTTTTTTATCTTAACGTGTTGGATACAAAATAATTGAAACAATAATGCTGCAAGTGATTGAGCTAATTGGAATTCAATCTTTTTTGAATTTTCTTTGAAATAACCGGAGTCACTTCAACATTGAAGGTTTTTCGCAGACAGGGTGACTTATGAGGTGACTTTGGAGCTGATGCTATGTGATATATGCTGATGCTAGATATTAGTGTAGATTCAGAGGGCAGTTGCTGAGATAATTCAGGTTACCTTTATCATCTTAACAACCACAATCTATGATAGTACCATCACCTATTTTACTATCATAGATTGAGGTTGTTAAGATGATAGAGGTAACCTGAACCTTTGACGGTGTTTCAAACGTATCAGAAATTTGCAGCTTTGATTGATCAAGTTTATTGTTGTCGAGTGGAAATAAGGCAGTATTATGACTATTTGGGTATAGAATGTTCTATTAAATAGAACATTCTTTTGATAAGTTACTGAACTTTTTCTCCCTTTTGCGCCAAACTCTTTCGATATGGCAATAAACACCGACATCTAGTGGCTTCAGAATATGTGACGAGTGAGCTGGTAAGTAAATTAATGTGGTAGTCTACCGTGAAACCTAAGTCTTAGAATTTTGTGTAAAAAAACCTAATTTTTAGCTGCAATATAAAAACCTTACAAATCTAAGAAATTTAAATTTAAACTTTCAAATTTCCTATTTTGGTACGCGGAACCAAAAAAGGGGATTTACACTGCGATAAATAACTCAAGAACAATTAAAGATACAGTTCTAGATTTTTTTGTACATAATCTAATAAGGAAGTTGGATTGGCTGAATTAAGGAAAAAAATTATTATTAAAAAGTTTTTGTTTAAATGATAATTAAAAATGGCAGCAAAATTTTGATCCAAAATACAGGTTTTGAGCCCAATTAACTAAAGAACCAAAAAAGTTAAAATAAATTTATTTAATTCAGCTAATAGATTATTTATAAAAAAATCAATGTATCAAATTTCAGGTCTATAGCATTTAATTGAGAAAAGTTATTTACCACTTTAAAAACAAGAAAATAATAAAAATACATAAAGCAATGAATTAGTAAATTGTAAATTAGTAAAACACTTTATATATTAATGTAGAAAAAAACTGTATAATAACGTAGAAAAAAATAATTTAAAAAAGACCAGTCTCATATACTGTTCCTTCCATTTCTTCATTAGCACCTGCAAATTCTTTACAGCTCTTTTTTTTTCCGTTTAAGCTTGACTTTTGGAGTGACTTAAGATTCATATTAGCGACTCTTACAAAATCTTTATTTGTGCAAAACTCTTGCGTAAATTTTCCATTATGTTTAGCATTGCAAATACATTTGAAACTCCATTTGTTCCCTCGTTAAAATTTATGATTTTCGTTAAAATTTATGATTTATAATCTTCTCCAAATAATTACATTTAACGATTCATTGTTGTTTTGTGTTTGCCCATGCAAACACTTACTTAGTAAATCATCATCACTTAAACTAAGAATTTTTTTTTTTTTTTATGTCTCTTACAACAATGGGTAGTCCTGGTTTTTCTTTATACAGGGCTGTAACATTTATTTTATCAGACTGGTATTTACACCAATTTTCAGGGGTTCTTGGACACATTTTGGTGGCGACTATCTAATGTAAGTGCATCTGAGCAGTGGTGAAGTACTGCACCAATTGCTTTTTTTAACTGGTAAACTGTTCCATCATTATATTGACGTACTGCAATTGAAAAAATTTTGAAGTTTATTAATTTCTTTTTCGGTAAGACGATTTTTTCCACCTAGTGGTTTCCCATCAGACAATTTTAGTTTATAAGTGGCTTTAAATTTACGAAGTCTGCCACTAACTCTTTTTTGTATGTGTTCAACACATTCTAACTTTTGGACAATAAGATTTTGTATGGATTACATTTAGCAACTTCTAGATAAGATTTTGAGTCACCGTCACCAATACAATAAGCATAATGTAAATTTCTGTCTAACTCTGATGATGTAAAACATTCAACAATTCCAGCTGCCTCCATTGCGCCTGATAAGCCCTTATGGGTAATGCTACATTCATGTGTACTAAGAAACTCATCATATTCATCAGTGCCTTTTTTTTCCCATTTATCACATTGATGGCATGTTCTCACCAAGAGCTTGCTTAATCTCAACAGCTGCTTTATTCACAAAGTTTAGAGCAACTTGTAAGCCATTAATATATTCCTTTGAATATCATGAAATGTTTTTTTTTATGCATTGGTGGAGGTAAATTCATAAAACCATAAAAGGTTGTTAAGCACATGCCCCTTTCCCTCATAGCAGTAATGGATCTCGTATTTACATCCGATTGATATTGCCCACCAAATTCATCATCAATTTCTTGGCTAGGGTAAACCCTTTTACTCCATGAGCAGACTGAGGCTGTACATGTAAACTCTAAGAAAACAGACATTCCTTTCTTTCTTGATAAATCTGTAAAAAGTTCAATACTCCTCGATTAACATTGAGGGCACATAGCAATATCATCTATGATGATGCTATGTGCCCTCAATATCTACTTTTTAAAATAAAGCTATTTAACATGATGTAACAGTGTGGAAAATTCGATTTGTTATTAGGTAATGAAGTTCGTTTTGTTGATACTGTTGTTGCGTTATGATTTAGTAATGTAAGTTTCTTTGATGAAGTTGAAGCATGTAAATTACTTGTTAAAGGTATGTTATTAACAAGACTATTTTCCGAGTCAATGTTCAGGAGCTTTAAAAAAACTTTTGCCA